AGTAAATATAAAACGTAAAAACGTAAAACGACGTTTCGGAGATGGGACTCTATCTCCGTCTTCAGGTTCCTACACAGTTGGGCCCACTAGATAGAGCTAATCCCTATCTCCGAAACGTCGTTTTACGTTTTATATTTATTAGACGATGGATAATATTCAAGAAAATTTTTATTCAATTTCCATAGATACTTCGACGGAGAACATTTCCACCGGCCTATCGAACACTCCGATCTAATGTCACAAACGAATTTTAAGATACTGAGAGGAGAGAGAATCCGTTGGCTTTAGCGTCTCCAGGTGTACAAATTCACATCGGAATATCGTCACGGGCGGAAACATGAAATCATACTTAATTAATGTTAATTTAAAATACCAGGCAAATGGGTTCACATATTAGGCCTACTAATTAATTTATTTAGAAGTTTATATGCAATAAATAAATAGACCTCGTCCTTAGAACGAACGATATGAATATGGAATATCGACAGCTTACTTCTATATATGTTTTTGGAGAATCGAAAAAAACAACAGAAGTGTGTATGTTTGTTGGAGTTGCAAGCCTTTGTACCTCGTTATCAAATCTAAAACTTCTTGGCGATGGTGAAGAGTCATTTGAATAAAAATTTCATTGGATATTATCCATCGTCTAGTAAAATATAAAATATAAAACGTAAAACGACGTTTCGGAGATGGGACTTTATCGCAAATTAAACTAGGCGTAGCCTAGCATCTGAATGTCACGCTCCACTATCCCACATCATGCCTATTCACGCATGCGCAGTGGAAATCAGTGCCGCGATATTTCGAGATTGTCGCTTCTGGTCCTGATACCATTTGCCATGGACAGCCAAGAAGTTTGTTCAAGATAACAAGGATCTTCGGGACATGATCTTGTATATCTGGATCACTCTCAGTGTCTGTCATGCCTATAGCCTGATTTTAATTAAAACTACGGACGCTTTTATGGAAAACGTGTGTATAGGCATTCTTTTTCACACAGACCCAGCGTTAAATGTGGTGTTATGTTCTGATTCGAAGCATTTCAATGTGGATCTTGGTCACTATACTAATATTAACGGCTCTTTTAAAGTAAAATAACTTTCCAGTAATAAACAGCACATTTAAATATAGGCCTACTCGTAAAAATATGATTTTTAGTAATTACTTTGCATTTAAAAACATTTGCGAATTCGTCTAAACGATCAGCATATATAAACTTGCTTCTAAAAAACATTTATTGGTCTTGATTGAAGGATGATGGGGATTTATGGTCGATAACTTGAGGGAGGTAAGAGAAATGAGGTCACAGAGTAAAGCTTACGATAGCCCTTGTTCAACATCTGTGATATCTGATGCTGAGGAAGTTGAACTTCGCTCTTGTACTGTAGCAACAGCTTTCTACTCTTGGCATGTTTTAAGAAAGAACAAACCACGACGAGGCGAAGGCGTCTAGAGGAAAAAGTTTCTAGAAATGAAAACAGCTTACGCCTGTGTACCAAAAGGTGTAGTGTTCGAGTGTTCAACAAATATTACAGTTCGTTGAACTTGTTCCCAGTCCCAAGGGCGGAGGGAAATGGAAATGTTTGTTGCCAATTTTGGAACACCAAACTTACCATCAGCCTACAAGCTTATAGGTACATTTTACTCCCTTTAAGTCGTTTGTCTGCAATAAAGAAGTGAGCCTAATTCTCACCAACAAGCAATGGTGAAAGTGGAGACACCTAGAACTCAACGTTATTCTGTTCATGTCTGCTTCCTGTAAGGCCTGTACATTACCGTTTTACGAAGAACTTAGCGTTAATGTTAACCGTGTTAGTCATGTCATCCGGGTAACTCTTTTAAAAATGGAGAAAACAATGATCTGTTTTACTTTCACTGTTTATTGGTACTGAATACACTGGAACACAGCAGAACCGGTCAGATAAAACGCATCGTTAGCCAGTTCCAGGTAGCCAGGCATTGTTAGCCACCTAGTCGAGGCTAACACTAGCGAAATACAATGTTAGGAAATTTAATAAAACAGTCTCTGTGTGAATGGATACAGTAGTTTGAAAGAACATTTAACGACACGCAAACACAATTCTCAGATGCTATCCTTGTATCTACTGTCAACGACAGAACTGCATCTTCAATGAATTAAAACAAAGGACAACTGGAAAATATAATTTCAGAACGCATTTAAAACTCCGTATGCTCAATCCCGCCACGGTGGTCTAGCGGTTAGAACGCTGGCCTTGTAATCCTAGAGTCTCGGGTTCGATTCCTGGCGGTGCCCAAATTTATAACTTGTGTTGGGCAAGGCCGTGGTCTAGGCAACACGGAGTTTTCCTCCGGGGGCTTCCCCGGTTTCTCCGTGGCATCCCATTCACACACAGAAGAAGGCAATGGCAAACCACTTCTGGATCATCTGCCAAGAACGTATATGAACAGGTCCCAGTCCGAGAAAAGGATGGAAGGATCCTGGTCATATGGACCTGTCCTCAGACAGAACACTAAATAATAATAAGATGAGGTGGTCTAGCGGTTAGAACGCTGGCCTTGTAATCCTGGGGTCTCGGGTTCGATTCCCGGCGGTGCCCGAATTTTTAACTTGTGTTGGGCAAGGCCGTGGCCTAGGCAACACGGAGTTTTCCTCATTGGCATCCCAACAATTACTCCATTCACACTCACACAGAAGAAGGCAATGGCAAACCACTTTTGGATCATCTGCCAAGAACGTATATGAACAGGTCCCAGTCCGAGAAAAGGATGGAAGGATTCTGTTCATATGGACCTGTCGTCAGACAGAACACTAAATAATAAAATAGTCTAGCGGTTAGATCGCTGGCCTTGTAATCCTGGGGTCTCGGGTTCGATTCCCGGCGGTGCCCGAATTTATAACTTGTGTTGGGCAAGGCCGTGGTCTAGGCAACACGGAGTTTTCCTCCGGGGGCTTCCCCAGTTTCTCCGTGGCATCCCAACAATTACTACATTCACATACAGAAGAAGGCAATGGCAAACTACTTCTGGATCATCTGCCAAGAACGTATATGAACAGGTCCCAGTCCGAGAAAAGGATGGAAGGATCCTGTTCATATGGACCTGTCCTCAGACAGAACACTAAATAAATATGCTCAATCCTAAATATATTTTTTAAGCTTTTCGCTTTGATTCTTGGGGGAGGAGTACTCAGCAGTTTTAAAAACGGTGATCCTCATATTTCCATCTCTCATTGCTCATACATTGACATTGCATTTTAAATTTCTAAAAAGAAAGTGTTAGTTTACACAGCTCACCCCATGGAACAGAGCAATCTTTCAGGTGGTCCACACGTTTCACGCCCGGTTAAGAAATTCTCATTCGTTTTCCAGAAAACAAGGTTCAATACATGTCCAGGGGAAGTCACCGCTGGAATCTGTAATAAATAAGTAAAATCTGAAGTTCTGATGGTGTTGAGCATAAAGATGGCTGCCGTGTAGAACAGAATTCGAAAAGCAATGATTTGTGTTTTGGGTTTCAGGACGAGGGGTTTCCGGTCAGTTCAAGTGCCCCGAGAAGACTGGTTACTTCCCAGATCCTATTCAGTGCGACCTTTACTACAAATGCAAGCAGGGAGAGCCCGAGGAAAATCTGTGCCCTGACGGACTGGTCTTCGACGATTCGAACCCCGGCCAAGCACGCTGTGACATTCCTACGAACGTAGATTGTGGCGACAGGAACGAACTGCGTGAGTTACGATTTTAACGATTCCGTACCAAGTACACGTTACATGGCTTAGATATTTTGTGCTTTATTTAATCATACTGTCGGTAGCTGAGATCATACAGCGTCGAGTGATAGAATCGGGGATGAATAATGAATTTGACGTGATATGGAAGACAGCGGTCTTGCCTGAATGAATGAGGAAAACCATGATAATACTTGGATCTCCGATTACGAAGCGGGAGTCCAAATCACTCGGCACACGGTAATGAATGAATTCAACAATTTTTTGTAAATATTTAGGTATTTAAAAAGAGGACTGTTAATAAAAGTCGGATAGATGTTTGATAGGCAATTTGACGACAGTGAATCAATCTTAAGCG